CATTCTTCATTTCTGTCTCCAACTCAATGTGCCAGTCCTAGACATGCTCATCCAGAGGAAACATTGTCACACCTATTTCCCCAGGGCTCATGTCACCTCCACCAGCCCACTCTCGTTCTCTGCATGGATGAATGCAAAGAAAAACTTCACACTTTCCCACTGAGCAAATACAGCAACCACAATATGCCACAAGAACTGGGACAGTCCTGTCAATGTGGAATACTCTGAATGTTATGTGAGCACAGGAGGATTTGTAACCACATTGGCAGGGCAGATCAGAAAGGCTTCCTGGAAGAAGTGGTGCTTGGACTGATTCTTAAAGTTAGCAAGGAAAAGAACTCAGGGTGGGAAAAGAACTCAGGGTGGAAAGGAGGAAGAGGTACAAGGTACCAGAAGTAGCAGCAGGATAAATGTGCCTGTTCGCTATCTTCTTCTTATCTACTATTATCTTCAACATCCTTCTGGATACCTTCTCTGGCAGAGGCTGTGAGTTGCCTACCAAATATCCACTCTACCCTTCTCTCTGGAATTAATGGAACAGCTAGAAACATTTACCAGTCTCCCTTGCATTTAGGTGGGGGACTTGAAGAAGTCCCATAAAAGAAAGGGAGTATGCCATTCTTTACTCCTTCTTCCACCCTGGTGTCTGAAAGGTGGATGTGAGGCGAGGCTCTAGCAATCATCCTGGACTAAGAGGAAGACGGAACACAGGAACATAGGGAGAAATGGAGCTGGGAGCTGGAAGGAGTTTGAGTACCTGACAACTTCGTGAAGCCAGAATACCTCAGCAATTTCTTTTATGTAAGAAATAGGTAAACTCTTCTCTTATGATTACTTTGTATTTTTAAAAAATTATTTGCAGCCAATCCTAAGTAATGCACCTTTCAAGACCATTCTAGCTCACAAATAATGATAATTTCTTTCTCTACATTATAGCACATGTTTGTATCACTCACTAAACAAATAAACATCTGTCTGGAGACAACCGTTGAATGATAATATCACTTTTCCTGGATGTATATCATACATTTCCAATAAGATATAAGCTCCTTGAGGGGAGAGTGTTAAATTATACAGTTTCCCTTGTCACCTCAGCTCTTAGCAAATTATCTGGTATAGAGTACATGTTTAAATAAGTGTTTACTGTCCCATAAAAGAAAGGGAGTATGCCAATCTTTACTCCTTCTTCCACCCTGGTGTCTGAAAGGTGGATGTGATGGCGAGGCTCTAGCAATCATCCTGGACTAAGAGGAAGATGGAACACAGGAACATAGGGAAAAATGGAGCTGGGAGCTGGAAGGAGTTTGAGTACCTGACAACTTCGTGAAGCCAGAATACCTCAGCAATTTCTTTTATGTAAGAAATAGGTAAACTCTTCTCTTATGATTACTTTGTATTTTTTAAAATTACATGCAGCCAATCCTAAGTAACGCACCTTTCAAGACCATTCTAGCTCACAAATAATGATAATTTCTTTCTCTACCTTATAGCACATATTTGTATCACTCACTAAACAAATAAACATCTGTCTGGAGACAACCGTTGAATGATAATATCACTTTTCCTGGATTTATATCATACATTTCCAATAAGATATAAGCTCCTTGAGGGGAGAGCGTTAAATCATAGTTTTCCTTGTCACCTCAGCTCTTAGCAAATTATCTGGTATAGAGTACATGTTTAAATAAGTGTTTACTGTCTAATTATGCTATGATTGCTCTTTAGAAAAAATGTGGGGACTTTTAAATCTTTGTTTAAAACTTTGCAGAAAGCGAAATAACAGAGTAAAGGAAAGTATCTCTTCTAAGGAAAAAAAAAAAAAAGAAAGAAAAGACAAAAACTCAACCCGTAAAGTGATGGCTCTGAGATGACATGACTTAACATATAGTCAAGAAGTCTCTGACTTTGTTTCCTTGGAAATAAAAGTTGTTAGCACAGAGACCACCTTCTAGGCCAAAGCCAATCCATCCATGGGCAGAGCCACCCGGTTTTGAGTTTGTCACCTCTAGTGAATTATGACACCCCCCCGCCAAGAACACAACCTCAGGCAGGTGGAAAGCATTTGTGTTAAAAGGCAGACTATCTCACACATGCTTTACTTCTATGTCTTTATCCCAAATGCAGAATTCATGTGAATTTGCATAAGCAACTTGTTCCACCCTCTACTGAATCTCTAATTTTTCTTTAAAAGCCTTTAGCACCGTGCTGTGGGGCTGTCCGCCTTTCTGCAAACACCCAGTTTCCACAAACTGTCCTTAAAACTTATCTACACAGTCCACGGGCTGTCAACTATCATGCGAAAAAAGGCAAGTGAAACTGGGGAAGAAAGGAAAGAAAAATTACATCTGTATGCCAACCAAATGAAAAAAAAAAGGAAAAAGAAAAAAAAAAAAAAACCCGGGAAAAACAATTTACCATATCAAAAGAAAAAGAAAACACTTTTTAATTGACGTTCTCTTTGTCAGTTCTGAAGCTAAGCACTTGCTCCTTCCTTATTAACTTTAGTCTTTAGAGCAATTTTTTCCGTTGTGAGCACTTTCTAAAAAATCATTTTCACACATTTCTCAGATCCATCAATCCTTCCGGCATTCCTCTATGCTCGCATTATGGCAGCCGGCTCTAAATATAAAAGACTTTTATTATGTCCATTAACCATGGACATATGTGCTCCAAAAGTTTCCTGACACGCAGTCATTTGTGGGTTTTTAATTATAAACAGAAAATATTCACTAGAAAAATAAAGAAGCAAGCCCATCAATATATCTTCATAAATTGAGTTTTGTTTGTATACAACAAAACATCTGGGCAAATAACTCCCCCAGTTGCCAGTTCCAGGATGTGAGCATGCATACGTTTATAAACACACAGAGGTGCACATACATTCACATGTGCAATTAAATTCTTGCATTGGACAGGACTCAAACATCTGTAATTGCAGGTACAAGCTGTCTTGTAAATAAAGGAATGGATTTTCCTTACACTCACCAGGTCTCATTCCACACGAAAACCAAGTAGGAAAGAGGGCAATGCCCAGTAAAATACTTGACAAAGTCGTATTTTTTGAATGCATTTTATTTTAACAACCAAAAAATTCTAACAGCCTAACAATGCACATAAGTTAAAAATTAATTATCACTTAGTGATAACAAAGATAGTTGATTTACATGGAAAAAAGAACATTTACAATATGTTAATCCTTATTCACATTGTTGATATCGCAATAAAACACAATTTGTTTTTTCATTTCACAAAAAAAAAAAAAAAGGCGGGAAATTGTGCTTTGTCAAGAGGCACTACAAGAGAAAGTTTCTTCTTCCAAATAGATATTATATGACAGATATTGAATAAATAGACATATATGCATTGTAATTCGCAAAGATCTGGCAAGACCACAGGCTAAAATGCCCACAGATTCACTTAGAACCACTGCAAACTTGGCAGTGAAATTAAAAAATAAAAGGCAAGACTTAGCATTGAAAAATACCTAATAAATTTTTGGTTGAAGTGTAAAAGATACCAAATGCGGATGCCATCGATAGATGAACCACCTTGTAAGAGCTTGGCAAAATCAGTTTCCATTACGTGTACAGAGTGACCTTCAGCAACAGTGTAAGAAGACAATTTGGAAAAGAGTAACTCGGATATTAGGAAGCAGCAACCACGGACTTTCTGATTAAAGCTGCAGCACTACAGAAATAGGAAGGATGGGCCCAGGGCTTGACTGCAAACAACCATCCTTTTGCAAAGGTATATGACGCTCATGTCAAGATAATTTTTTAAACATCATTATTTGAAAAAGTACAGGAAAATGTCCCTTTAAAAACTCCAGAGGTTACTGAGCAGCTAGAATTAGCTTGTATTGCAACATGTCTTCTCCCTGTATATTGTAAGTTCTGAGTTAATATCTACACATAGAGGTTTGCTTTTTTTTTTTAACTCCGACCTTTTATACCTTTCAAATATATAAATAGTATTAACAGTTATATTACAATGTTTGTGTAGTAAACAGAAAATAACTTTCAAAGTGATATTGCATGAGGTCTTTGAAAAGGCTGCATGAGAGCACAACTCTAAAAAAAAATCCAACCGTGTGGGACTGTTTGACGGCCACCTTGAAGCATGAGATTAGTTTCACTTGGCCAGTCCTGAAGGTGAGGTCTCCTCTTGCAATGACTAGAAGTAGAAGTGGGAAGTAATGGTTTCTGATGGGAAGCTAGAGGCGGGGGAGGACTATAGTAGATTGCAGCTTTAATGCTCATTCCACTAAATAGCCAGTCGGCATTAGTTCTGCTTTATGTAAGGTAACTGCTATGTAGGTAACTGGGAAAATGTTTCCATTTATGAGGAGTAGGTGATTCCACTGAAATTGCTTTGCTTACTCTATTGCCTGGAGCTGCACAATGATTCAAAAACAGGTTCTTGCTAGGGCTGCCCCCATAGTAGGGAAGGGATGAGGTGCGTGAGAGCAAGGACTAAAAACGTCTGGTTAGGTGCATGGAATACGTACAAAGAGGAAGCCCAAAGTGAAACAGAAATGAGAAACGTCTTTCGGGAGATGAAGGCATGGAGATTTATTTGAGAGGGAGCCCCTTTAACTGGGCAGCAACTTCTTTTCTAACTTAATATTACACTGAACTATTTTCTATTTTAAAAAAAAAGAAAAAGAAAACAGCAACAATAAACAAGTTTTAAATGAGCAGGCTTACTAATTTTAAGATCTGAAGCCACAAGCAGGTAAATAAATTTCACAATAAAATGTGGCTCATACTGTGAATTCCATTTGTCTGACATCAGTATGTCATTTTATCGAGACTGCACTAATGGACAAGTTTTCTCTGTACTGAATTTCAGCTTTACTCATTTGGAAGTCCACAGAAACGCATCTGTTCACTACAGTAACGACAAGTTGAATAACGGAATGCGAGTCATTTTAAGTGTGCATTGTGTCTTTAAGATTAATTTGACTGGTATCATTTTAAGGTGCCCTGATTTTTTTTTCACTTTACTTTCTTCTTCTTTCTTTCTTCCTTTCTTTTTTTTTTTTTTTTGGCAGTGTTGATTTGTTTTGTTAAATACATACCTCAAAAATTACCCATCAAGCTGCCAGATAGGAAGCCATAGAATTAAAAAAAAAAAAAAAAATCAGGGACAAACACAGAAAATAAATAGGAATTCAAAAATAGTCACCCCACCCTGAGAGCAGGCCGCAGTTTATCAAAAAGCCAAAGCGACTCACTGTGAAGTGGTTTTTTTAATACATAAACAAGTCTCTTCTTTAAGAACTCATTTCACAGTCTATTCTTTCGGATTGTAAAGTTCTCTGTCCCATGCAATTTAATATATATATGTAAATATATAGATATATACATATACATATACACACACACTTGTAGCTTCCTTCATTTATTTCATAGGTCTTTTCATCCTGGAACTTGCCTGGTGTCTCTTCCATAAGTGCAAGGATAATGAAGGCAGAGTCTCCTGTGATTATAATGACTACGATCCAGTCCATTGTAAAGCGTAACACTTTAGTGTCTTTGCCAAGGCGATGTCTGATTCAGAAATACTGAACTTATTCAGTCTACAGGTGTATCCTGTGCAACAGAGAAATGTCAAAAAAAAGGTAAGGAAAACAAAACAGACCAAGAAAAAGACAAAAATAAAATAAAGCAACAACAAAAAAAGTTTTTAAAGAAACTAAAACAGAAAATCCTTGGACCGATGTATTGCTTTGCCTGGTGGCAGTTCACATTATCTCTGGTCAATTTCAGCAGGCACCGCCTTGCTTTTCTCCGCACTCTCCTCCTCCGCCTCCACTTTGTACATCTCCTCCGAGCCTTCCTCGCTGTCATTCTCCTCCGACTCCGTCAGCAGCTCCTCGTCCTTATACTCGGCCACGTCCACCACCGAGCCCAGGTGTTCCTTGAGTTTCCCATGATGCTTCACGTGGTACCGCTGGTTCTGGAAGAACTTGATGATGGTGTGTTTGGGGAGATCCAGCTGAGCAGAAAGAGTGTGGATGGCTTCCTGGTCAGGGTACAGGCCCACGTCATGGATGAAGCTCTGGAGGATGCCTAGGGCTTCCAAAGAGATCTTTGTGCGAGACCGAGGCTTTTTGGTGCAACTGTCTTCAGTCGGAGGAGGCGGGGGAGGTGCTTCTTCTCTGGGAGGGGAGCTCTCCTTGGCTGGCTGAGACTGCTGTCTGTGCAGGACCTGAAAATTAAAATTTAAACAAAATTAACATGTGATTCACAATCTCACCTTTCAAAAGCCATCAGCCCAGTGAAATAGGTGTTGTCTAGCTAGCACTGTAGTGATGCTGTAGTCATGGTAAGTTCAGGTCTTCTGAAAACTTAAAAGAATTTCTGGAGATTCAGAATCTCCTCTACAAAGCAAGAGGTTAATAATAGTAATGTTTCCATTCTGAGGCACAAAGAAGTTAAGTCATTTGTTGCCAAAGGTCATTCGAATTCAAAGGATCTGGCTCCAGGGCCTTGCTGTTAACTAGCGTGGTGTGCTACCTCTCTGAAGCCCAATGACAAAGAAACCGGACCCAGACGAAAAGTGCAGGCTCTACAAATGAGATCACATGGGCTCACGTCCAGACTCTTCCCCTTAGCTGGGTGTCCTTGTGCAAGACACTAAACATCTTTAAGCCTCAATTTCATCATCTATGAAAGAAAGATAAGACACTGACTTCCTAGGGATGTTGGAAGGATTAAATGACACAATGCATGTAAAGAACAGTGCTTGCCTTAAACCAGAGGTTGACAAACTTTTTCAGCAAAGGGCCAAATAGGAAATATTTTAGCCTTAGCAGGGCCATACCGTCTCTGTTGTGATGCCTCATCTCTATAGTGTGAGCATAAACAAATGAGCATGGCTATGTTCCAATAAACTTTATTTATAAAAACAGGTAGCAGGGACTTCCCTGGTGGTCCAGTGGTAAAGAATCTGCCTTCCAATGCAGGGGACTCGGGTTCAATCCCTGGTCTGGGAACTAAGATCCCACATGCTGCAAGGCAACTAAGCCCAAGTGCCACAACTAGAGAGAGAAAAATCCACACGCCACAACTAGAGAGAAGCCCATGCGCCGCAATGAAAGATCCTGCGTGCCACAACTAAGACCCAACGTGCCAAATAAATAAATTAATTAATTTTAAAAAAACAAAACAGGTGGCAGACTGGATTTGGTCCATGGGCCAGAGTTTGTTCACCTCTGGCTTAGGGCAAACATCCTATAAATGATAGTCATTATTATATCAGCCTCATAATTACTCTTAGAGTATAACAGTGGAATAAGTATTTGAGTCAGAAAATCAATTCTCCATAAAATTAAGAACAACTTTTGTTTATTTTCTTTTAGCCCTGATCTTAATCCTTAAACAAGAATGTTTTTTAAAAATATAAAAACTTCCAAATTAATTAAAAGACATAATTTTTTATTAAATTATGCCCTTTAAATGACTAGATTACACTCATATAAATGGACCTCCTCAGTATTACTGATGTCAAGGAGACAGCAGTGAGTGGTGGCTTGAAGCAAGATTTTGGTTCCCTGCCCAGGAATTGAACCTGGGTAGCCTGGGTGAAAACCAGGAATCCCAGCCACCAGTCCAGCAGAGGCTAGAGAACAAACTATTCATCCTTTGTTCTGCAATCCACTTCCTTTTTTTTTTTTGTTATCCTTCATGTCAAGGTTTTCTAGTTGTAATTAATTTAAATTTCTCTTTCATTTCTACCTATTCCCCACTCATTAGAAAACAAAACAAAACCGAAACAAAAACCTCTAGTATTTAAATACTAGATCCAAGTTGGAGCCACTCCTGCCTGGGGTGCCACATCAGCAGATTGAACTTTCATGTTGCTATAAATGCTCTGCTTGACCAGAAACACAGTGTCCTGTCAGCAAATCCCCAAATGCAACGCCAGCTCTGGGCTCCATACTCACTTCTTCGCTCTCTGATCTTTCTAAATAAGGTCAGATATGCAACCCCAGACAATCATGCCCTGTTTTCTGTGTCGCCACTTCTAATGCTCTATAAAACTGGCCCAAAATCCCTCTGGAAGAGTGTTCCACTGCTTGTGAGGAACTGTACCCCCTACAACCCATGGATTGTTCCCCTTGAATAAAGGACATCACACTGATTACTACATTGGTTTAGTTTTGTCATTTGACACTAGTTAGGCAAGCTTATTCTTGATCCTCATAACTGCTTCTTCAGCGTCATCTCTGCATGGAAAAGTTTCCCATTTTAATATTTATGAACTTTTTCAATCTGACTAAAGAAAGAGAAAGCAATACAGAGGAGATTGTCCAAACAACTCGCCCCTGTCCCCCTCAGAGGCCTATGTGAGAAGGACTTCCTGGAGAGGGCGCATGGGACCCTGAAGAGGAACTCAGCTGCTGCTCACACCTTGCAACATCAGCGGCAGTGCTATAACAGCGAAAGGTTCCCATTAGAAAGTATTATGTCAACTCCAAAGGCAAAGACCGAATTTCCTCCACTCAGATCAGTGTCTAACATCCTGGAAGTTCCCAAGACCTTTAAGAATAGTGAGTTCACTTTTTAAAAAAACACATGTTTCTCTTATACCATTCTCTCCTATTTTAGGTGGTGTTTTCCATGTTAGAGTAACAAATTAAACATTTTCCAAAGTTCAGGGGGAACTCAGTCCAGTCAATGAAGAAGAAAACGTGTCTAGTTACACGAGAGAAACATTGGTACCACCACTACCAGCACCACCACACACTACCCAGATGACAAATTTTTTTTAAACTACAAAACATCAACATCAAAGCAAGCATTTAAGAAAACAATCTCTGCCATTTATCCTAGTCTCAGAGACTACCTGATGAAAAACTAATTTCTTACCGATGTGAAAATGTCAGTCTTTTCTGTAGAATTTAATAGATATTAGGGCAGATGACATTGTTACTTAGGTAACAGAAGAGGATTAAACTTTTAAAATAATAATTCATAACAAGTAACAATCAAAATAACAATAAAAGGATAATCAAATGCAAATAAGAATACCCATTATAATAAGCTGATGGCTGGTGGCAGAAAGAAATCTAAAACAGAAGACCATAAACAGTGGCACTGAAGGTCCATATAGTGTCGACCAATTAAAATGAATGTTCTTGACATTTCTTTACCCCTTTCAACTAAGAGTAAACGCATGTGGTCTGCTGTGGTAAGCAGGCATCAGCAAAAAAGTGAGAGCTCCATTACTTCAACATCCTAATTATAGCTGGCAAGGAGAGGAGATCTGCACGGTGGACCCACACTGCTCATGGCAGCTTTGATGGCAGGAAGGTATTTGCTCTGAGGTTGTAAGATTGTAATCTGGGCAGCTTGAGCACTGTAATACATGAACCTCTACATCAACAGGTGAAGATTATTTTGGGGGGGGGTCAGTAAGAAGGAGAGAGACTGAAATTACATAGGAATATGTACCCACACAACATGTATACGCAAGCACAAGGACCCCCTTTTAGAGCAATTGCGATAATTGGAAAACAAAAGAGAATTAAAATGCCCCATTTTTAAAATTATGCTTGCCTTCTGTAGTAAAAGTCAGCATAACGGTTCCACTTAATTAAATAATTAGATTGGTTCTTTAGGGGTTTTCCATTGTGCATTGGTTAGATTTAAAGAGATTTTCCAAAACTATACTTTGAAGTTACTATAATCTTTCTGCACGATAGGGTTCGTTCTTCTCCTGAGGTCCCACCAATTGGCCTATTTCACCCCCCTTCTAACTTTGAACCTAGCAGTAGTAACACACAGATACAGAGAAGCCACACATGAAATGGAGAGACAATAATCATAGTAGCCACCACTTACTGAGCGCTTACTCTGTGCCAGACAGTTTTAAGAACTTTACATCGATTAACTCATTTAGTCCTCACAGTTCCTTGTGAAGGTGCTACTTGGATCCAGAACAACCTAGAAACATGGAGCATCTCAGGAACACCCTCAAAATTGGAAATTTTAAACACAGAGCGCTGTCAGTCTAAGATAGTAGGTTTCCACGGAACAATGACAATGTGGCTGCCATCAGAGGAGAGGAAGATGTTTCTCAGAGAGCTAGCAGCAATGGAAATGATCTACAAAGTGAGATATCCTGTGTCAGGTCAGACGATGCTCTATATTGGGAGCCATGACAATATTTGCATGAAGAAGGTTAAATAATATTTCTGGTATCTTCAAGCAGATAGGAAGGAGTGTAATATTCATAACATCTGAGGTGAAAAGAGTCCCCAAGTTACTCTGTCCCAACTATCTTCATTCCCCTGAAATGTTCTGATTACTCCAGGCAGAGAGTTATTTATTGTCTTCTATAATTTTTAGCAAAAAGAACTGCCTACAGGGCTTCCCTGGTGGTGCAGTGGTTGAGAGTCCGCCTGTCGATGCAGGGGACGCGGGTTCGTGCCCCGGTCCGGGAAGATCCCACATGCCGCGGAGCGGCTGGGCCCGTGAGCCATGGCCGCTGAGCCTGCGCGTCCAGAGCCTGCGCTCCGCAATGGGAGGAGCCGCAACAGTGAGAGGCCTGCGTACCGCAAAAAAAAAAAAAAAAAAGAACTGCATACATTTCCTCACTAGCCACCTGCAGTAGCTTATTATTATGACAAACAATCAGGAAATTCTTCTTACTGTCGTGTAGTGCTTCTTCCAGTGGTGTGAATACTCTGAACAAAAACAGAGCAGAGCCTACTGCTTACGATGTGGTATTCCCCAGGCGGGGAAATCAGTCCAAATGCTCTCCCCAAACCCTCCATCTAAACAGCGGGATCAAGTCACCTTTTCTGCACTTTCCCACATCTTGACTAACTAATGCCAACTCTTTTAGTCTCGTCTTCATAGGACAGGTTTCTGAACACCCACTTAAGTGAATTTTAGTTTTTCTGTCTGAACTTCTCAGAGATGTTTGAAACTCGTTGTTTGTTAACTAGAATGACTCAAGTTTGGTCCCTGTCCCCAGCCAGTACCCTGAGTAACTCCGGCCTGAGGTCATGTCATTGATTCCCGCTGGATGGACTACACGCCATCCTGTTCCTCAGCTCATCTGACAGTTCACGCATACATTTCTGGCTGATTGACTCTTTGAAACCACAAAATTTACAATTACTGCAACCAAGACAGAGGATGCCCTGTCATCTGAACAGAGATAGGCTCTTTCCTAACAAGTTCTTCCCAAGCCCAGAT